AACCAGCATGGGAAGATCTAGCCCAAGCAGTGGAGTGCGTCTGGGAGAAACGCCTTCTGTCAGGTCCAGTGGAGGGAAAGGCTGCAAGGCTAGGGCTGATGTCTTGCTCCAGTTTAGAAATGTCCCCCAGACCTGGGTGTTGTGCCTTTGGCACACGGCTGAGTTTAGTAGATGGGGTCTAGTAAAGCAAGTTGGTCACTGAAGGCATGGAGGGGACATCCTGACTCCAGTCCTTTCCTCCGTCTTGGCCTCCCTGACACTGTGAGGAGAACATCCCACCGTGATACTGTGCCACCACACAGCCAAGGCAACAGGGAAAAATGACCATGGACTGAACCTCTGGATCCATGAGTCAAAGCAAACCTTTCTTTCCTTAGTACTTGTTTGTCTTGGGTACTTGGTTACAGTGATGAAATCCAGCTAACAGGACTGTTGCCTGAGGCAAGACTATCCACAACCTATGAACCCTGATTACCTTGTCACGAAGAAAACTTACATCTTTAGGGAAAATAGACTTCTTTATTTAATATAAAAATGTAAATTCTCAAAGAAAGAATAGTTCCTTTGACTTCACAAGTCACATTTCCCATTTTACTCTACTAATCAGAGAACTTTGATATAAACTTCTTTTTAGTGAAGGTACGAGCTTTCATGATGTATACCTCCACACTATCTTACATTGTGATGTTCTGTAACCCTGACTTAATAATTCCTCTGTTATACTATATATTCTAGGTGCTGTATCTGTATTGTGGAACATCAAAAATATAAATAAATAAATAAGATAGTAAAGGTTTCTGAACACTAGCTGAGACCTGAGCCTTAACCAACACCAAAGGAACAGAATTACATATTAATGTATGTTAATTAATTAATATTAATGGCATATTTGCGCCAGAGAACTTGAAGCCACTTCAGAAGCAGAGAGTGTGTCAATGTAGCTGAAACAATCAAGGAAGTTAACACTCTTCCAAAACCAAGCAACGGTTCCATCTCTTGGTGAATATCGGGTCCTGACAGCCACTTCCCCGCTCAGCTGCCTCCCTCTGCCGGATCCACCCAGCCCCAGCCTTGAGACTCCCCTTGCTGTAGATTCACAGGTTGCGTCTGCTTTGTTTATGTTTTTAACGGCTTTTAAAATATTTAATGTAACTGACTGTCACTTCACTTTGACTCTGGGTCCCCAGTTACCTATGAGGACATACACACAAGAACCAGATATCTTTCATTAACATTTTTTTTTGTGGCACTACTTATTATATTATGCAAAGTGTCCTGCTACTTCCCCTTTGCTTCTTATGTTCTTGGACATTTTCCCATGTCAGTACTTAAATTATATTGTCCTTAAATGGAAATACCATGCTGAGAAGACTAACTTAGTTAATCCGTATAAGTCATATAAAACAGTGTCTAAAAAGAATTCTGTTTCAGATAACTTACAAAATTGTCTCCTGGGGTTCTAAATTCAGAATACCTTCTTGGCAGAGCAGGGTCACAATGATCAGATGCAGGCACATTTGGAGCCATCTTAGTTCCTCTCTTGAAAAGCCCTTTTTTCCACAGTGAAAGCCAGGAAGGTAAGTGCCACTGTCCAAATATTTTCCATTATGGAAGCAGGAGACCAGACAGACAGCACTAGGGTTGGTGCCACCTGAAGCTAAATTACCACTTAATATACATAGAGAACAGCTGATGTCCAGAAGTGAGCATCAAGCTTCTTGCTAACATGATGAGCAATGGCCATCTGTCCCCACAAAGCCAGGCAGCGTGACCTTCAGGCCCAAGCACTGCCAGCATCCCTCTTTCCCCATGATGAAGGATGGGAGAGAGAGAGAGAGAGAGAGAGAGAGAGAGAGAGAGAGAGAGAGAGAGAGAGAAGGCCTGAAGAATTTTCTGTTATTAGCAGCAACAAAGACAAAGTTCTCTCCTGTTATATTACAAGAATTTTCAAAACAAAACAGCAACAGCAGCCACAGAGAAAGCAGCAACAGGAATCTGGGCAAAAGTTAAAGCACAGAGCTGAGTGATTCTGTTTTCCTTATAGGGAGATAATGCACATAATTAATATGCACTCAAAGAGCAAAACGGGACGCATGCATTATGCTAGAAATTCCTTCATGTTTCATTAATCTAAACTACATGAAAATATTAAGCTGGAACAAAAGGCACAGATCAAAACCTCCTACCACCAAACGTCTATTGACAAACAGCATCTGACACTCGGAGGTGACTGCTGTTGTTGGCATAAAGTACACGCTCGTAGAAATAGGTGTGAGCGAATCACTGCAAAGATACAACCTTGCAGGCGAGGAGCTGGTGCTTTAGAATGACTCATTAAGTCCTTATGTGAATTGAACGCATTCCCCCATTTGTCTGTCAACTGAATGCATTCTTCGCTGTGTCTGTCATACAGGGATCATTAGCATCATCCGAACAAAAAGAGGGGAAGGGGGAGGCTTCCTCTCAGTGGGAATCCACCATCGGACAGAGAGTGAGATAACCACGTCCAAGATCAACACCACCAGGCATCATATCATGTTTTTCAAAGACAGTGCCGTTTCTCATGGTATCTAACAAACATGGATGTAGCCTGTTATTTTTGTAAAGAACTCCATTTTTCCATAACCTTTTGCTTAGCTCTTGGGATTTTTCAGATTTTTAAAAAATATGTGTCATTTCTTAAGAACTTGGTTTGACACATTTAAAGAAACAGGAAACATTCTAGAGAGCAGTAGGATTGTCATGGTTGGTTGACAATTAATAGACAGTTCAAAACAGCTAGTATAGCAGATCCTCAATGCTCCTAGCACAAAAAAAGTGCTGAATAGCTATGGTGACAGATATGCTAATTACTCTGATCTGATCATTACATATTACATACAGTACATGCCACACTGTACCCATAAATAGGTAGAATTACTATGTGTCAACTGAAAACAAAAATATACTTAAAAAAACATAAGAAATAGGAACACATAAGACAGGAATCAATTGTTTTCATAGCCTGTGTTAGATTGTAAGAAAAAGAACACTTCACCACAGTGAAAGCCATAAAGATTAATCATTGTTGGACTGGGGGTGTAGTTCAGTGGTAGATTGATAGTATAGCATGCTCAGGTCTCTAGGCTTGATTCTCCCCAATAGCATAAAAGAACAAAGATTATTCATTATTTCCCCTAAAGAGTCTGAAGGAGGCATGGCTTCAGGGAAGGTAGGTGCTCTAGAATAATGCTTCTCTTTTCTCTTCTCTTATGCTCTGTGTACTGGTTTCCCATGGAAATGTTTGTCATCTCAGACTCCAAAGCTGGCTAACAATATTCCATGTACCCTAAGATCTTACTGGCATCGCAACAAATAAGAAAAGGTAGAGGCAAAAGCTTTGTTCTTCCTTCTTTTTTTGTTTGTTTGTTTGGTTTTGTTGATGTTGTTAGCAGGGCTACCTATCTAACCCAGGCTGCCTTCAAATCCGAAATCTTCCTGCTTCTGCCTTCTCAATGTGAGAATTAGAAACTGTGGGTCACTATGGTGATGCCCTAGGTTCTCTTTTGATTCAGGAGGGGATGTTCTCTGTAAATTTAACCTTGTGTATTCTTTATTTTTCTCCTCACACTGACCAAATACCCAACAGAAGCAACTTATGGAAGGGAAGATCGACTTTGGCTCACAGTTTTAGAGGTATCAGTCAGTCATGGTGGAGAAGACCTGGTACAACATGTCAGCTCACACCAAAGCAGCCAGAGACGAAGAAGGGGGGCTACAGGGTAAGGACACACCCATTGAACAACTTCCTCCAAAGGCCTTACCTTCTAATAATGCCACCGTCTTATGAGTCAGTTGAAGGACTGATGCACTGATTAGGTCAGAGCCCTTAGGATAGAATCATCTCTGGAAACAAAGTCACAGAAACACCCAGAGGTGTGCCTCCCTAACCTCCTACAGGCCTATTAATCCAATCAAATTGACAGCTAATACTGACCATCACACCTTGTATGCCGTTGGTGACCAAGTCTCAGGTCCATCCACAGACCAATCACTATCAAAATGAAAAGGAGCTTCTGCTAATCACAGTTGACTCTTGAGATGAAATCCCAACAGCCACCCAGAGTGAAGATGTGGGCAAAGGCTTCTGGGAAGATGAAGAACATTATCTCAATGTCTAACCCAACAGGCCAGGCCTCATTTCCTCCCCGTGCTTCAAAACATCTTGTATCACATGGAACTGCCAGGATGTAGACAACACAGAAGTCCCATGTAACATAGCCATGCGTGGGATGGGAATTTATATTGAAAGTCTGCTTTTATGTTTTTTCAGGCATTTCCCTGTGGTTTTTCGTCGTTCTAATGTCCACCTTCTGCAGTTTTTATGTTACCTGTCAGCACCTCTCTGTTAACTCTTAGGGTTAGCTCTGAGCCCTTCTTTCATAGCACATCCTATGTCTGAATACCTTTGCGTAGATCAGTCTTACCCTTTGAATTCTTTTCCACTACAAAAATTGGAAACTCAAGTGAGTCTACTTAGGGATATTCAATTCAAAGTGATATTGTTGAAACGGTGCCTTCAGTTTCTGGGATCAGAACTGCCCATAGCAAGACCATCTGGGCAACTTCCCCCAGCAGGAACAGAGAGTATGACCCAACAGCGGAGGCATTTAACTGAGGGTGGAAAGATAATGGTCTTTGAAAGAAGGGTTCTTGTCTGACCACCCAGTGGCTGACAGCTACTTTCTGCCTCTCCCTCCAGCTCAGCTCTACACTAGGTGTCAGGTTCAAGCCTGACCTATGTCAGGACATGTTCAAGCAACTGCATTCCCAAGCTTTGCATGTATTGTTTGCCCCATCCTTATAAAACCTTATAAGGACACTGTTGACCACCCCACAAAGGAAAATGAAATAAAACCAAATGTGTGTCATTTGACAAAGAAGGCAGTGTTTGAAACTTGGATTCTACTCTGTGAATACGCCAAGACGATTTAGGTCTCTACACCCAAGGTTGACCTTACCTGGCAGGTCAGGGGAAAGAGCATATCCTTGAGGTCCAAGTGTGGCTGCCTCTATCTTGCTCTCAACCTTTGGGGCTGCAGCTGAGGCCAGGTTGCAATGCACCAACTAAATCTGTGTAAAGTCACAATAAGAAAGAGGTGTAAGTCTAGGGGTCCACCTCCAGCTCACCTTCCCATGTCGGAGGCCGTCTGCCACAGAACAATCAAAGGGAGCTCTATGTGAGGAACCAAAGGCTGATTGCATCTGAAGACTCTAGAGCACTGGTTCCCAACCTTCCTAATGCTGCAACTCTAATACAGTTCCTCAAGGAGTTGAGACCCACAGGTTAAGAACCACTATTCTAAAGCAATCTATCTTCAGCAGGGGTGATGTGCTCCCCCCCTCCTTCCACCCCCCTCCTTACCCCCATCCCAATTCCAGGGAACACATGGCAATGCCTAGACATGTTTCAGCTGTCACAATTAGGGGAGTCAATAAACTGGAATGGAACAGGTAGAAGCCGAGGTGTTGCTGAATACTCAGCAATGCAGAAGCCAGGTCTCATGGTGAGGAATTCACTGGCCCAAGTGTCCCTAATGCTGTAGCTAAGAAGCCTTGCCCTAGCTGAAGACAGTGGCCTAGACTGAAGGGAAAACATGGGTTGGGGGCATATGGGGAAGAGGACAGGGCTGCAAAGGTCAGCAGTGATCTTTCCAGCTCTGGGGATGCCAGCACATCACGGTCAGAGTGTGTAGTAGAGCAAAATGACTTCTCTCCCTGCTGGAAAACCAGAGAGAGAGAGAGAGAGAGAGAGAGAGAGAGAGAGAGAGAGAGAGAGAGATTGAAGTGCCAGTGTCTTCTTCTAGTGGCCAGAAGGCCTCTCAAGAGACATTAGTGTTGAAAGCTTCTCCACCCCTCTACAGCCACACTGGGGGAACTTAAGCCTTCAGTACATAGGCCTGGGAGAGAGAAAGACATTTAAGATACAAACCACAGCACCCCCCTTGTCTCTTCTTCTGCTTATTCCCACACTAAGGCATCACAGCTCAGGTAAGGTAGACGCAGGATGGACACAATTCCTTAGGAGCTGAAGGATTGCCACCATTTTCCTTCTACACCAGCAAGTCAATACACAGGGTTGAAAGTTCCTGAGTGACTTTATACAGACAGAGGCAGGAATCTATCTTCACGAATTTTCTTAAAGCGTCGCTCCTACATAGCTACGGGTGCAGGAAACACAGAGTTTTGACAACTGGGAACCAGCACCAGTTGAGAGACCGCTGACCTGGCTTCACTTCCTGGCTGTCGTACTTGCTAGCAAGGCCTCGCCCTGGAAATCCGTTTGCCTCCGGTTCCTCACCTGATGAAGAGGCCTCTAGTTGTTATGGGGACTCGTGAGATGAAAGGCTTTGTAAAGACTAGGGTTTTCGTAAATGTCAGCCCTCTGTGCACAGAGAGGTGGCCTGGGATGCAACTCATGGTACGGGAACAAATCGGACTTTTTTGCTAATTTTACCTGTATTCCTGTGCGCATGTGTGTGTATTCTTGTGCGCATGTGTGTGTGTTCTCATTGTTGAAAAAGAACTATGAACCTTTCTGTTCTTAGAACAGGACTGGTGTACATGTCACCATGATTTCTGCTCCATGCATCTGTTGGGGTGTTTTCTGTTGCAAGCAAGCTTTAGACTTTCCAGAGCATATTTCCTCATTCTAGTGTCAATGGGTGACTAAGCCATGGTCATGCCATCAAGTGCTCCACTACTTCCTTCCTTCTGCTCTCTCATGCTCAGCATGGTTGTTTTTGGGTTTCAGGAGTATTGTTTTCCAGTCACAAGATTACTATAAGTAGCTCTGAGACTTGTATCGTTATGCAATAACACTAGGGGGCTAGAAAAACGGAGAGTCTCTTTGCTATTTGCTTTTGAAAATCCTAAAATCCTTTTGTAGAAGGTCACTTCTGGGCCATCTTCCTTTCATATGTAACTGCCCAGAACTGTATCACATGGTTATGATTAACCAATCGCTGGCCAGAGTAATGACCTGACAGGAATGGCTTAGACCAATCAGGATTCACCCTGGGAGTCTGGAGGAGTACAAAGACACCAGAGAATGAAGAGATAAGCAACGGTCGACTCCAACATCCAAAACATTTTATCCAGGCTAAGATGGATGCTCTTTAATCTTTACCCTCAATTTGACTGGACTTAGGATCATGTAGGAGATTGGTGAGGCACACTCTGGACTTGTCTGTCAAAGCGTTTCCAGAGAGGATTAACTGAGGTGAGAAGACCCTCCCTCGATAAAGGCAACACCATCCTCACACTAGAGGAACACTCAGGAGAAAGCAGACATGTCACACCCCCTTCTCTCTGCTTCCTGTCGGTCATTGGCAGAGAAGCACATGAAGCCAAGTGGTCGAGGACAGAAATCTCTGAAGCCAGGAAAGTAAGTCTCTACTCTATAAGCTGTTTTTCGGGTCTTTTTTTTTTCTTTTCTTTTTTTAAGTAGCTAATATTGACACTGTGAGAGCCCCCTCAATGCTGTCCCCGGTGCTGGGTAAGTATCACACATGGTGGCTGCATATAGTGATGACATAAGGTGTAAGCTTGGGGCTGCTTCTAACCAGCTCATCAGAAAGTTCACTTCCTTGGTCTCTTGAATATCCCTTCTCCCATGTTCCTGTCATGTTTCTGACAGATTCCATTTCAATTTTTATCAAAATAATTATGCTCATATTTTTATTCACTTTTAAACTGAACAATTCAAAAAGAAACAAGGAAAAAGTAAAAAACAAACAAAAAAATCACTACAAATCCCACTGCTCCAGACTAATCGATATTAAGAGTTGATTAGCATGATTGGAGTCATCTCGGTCCATGTGAAATGAATACCAAAACAGAGATACATTTAATCCAGTGGTTTTTGAAAGAAAGATTCTTGTCTGACAATTTAGGGACCAACAGCCACTTTCTGCCTCTCCCTCCCTCTCTCCCTCCCTCCCTCCCTCCCTCCCTCCCTCCTTCCCTCCCTCCCTCCCTCCCTTCCTTCCTTCCTCCCTCCCCCTCCCTCCCTTCCTTCCTCTTTCTCTCCTTCCTTCTCTTCCTTCTGTCCTTCCTTCCCTCCCTTCCTTCCTCCTTCTCTCCTTCCCTCCCTCCTTCCTTCCTAACTGTAAGTTGCTTCCATCATTTGTCATAGCAACAAGAAAAGCAATTAATTCACTGTCTGAAAGTAGTGGCTCCCGAGCAGACTCACTGCATTCTCCCTGGATTCTCCCATCAGGCAAATGGTGACCGAATTGCTGTCTAGCCATATGCTGCAATTCCTTATTCTGGGCTTTGCTAGGACACTCCTTTCTCACAGCCTAACCAGGCTCTACCTGTTCTTCAGAGGTCATGGCCAACATCTTTACATCTCACTGCTGTCAATTCTCTTCTCCTCCACAGCACCTACCTCTTCCCAGATGACTCCGATTTGACACACTGACAAAATTTGACAAATTGACAAAAACTAACCAACGCAGTCCCACCAGGACTAAATAAAAAAAGGGAGTGGTGGGGGGCAAGCTGAGGACTTACACTCAGCTCATTCTGCTTCCTGACTGATGACACAACCTGACCAGCTGCCTCATACTCCTGCTACCAAGACCTCTGCAACATGATGACCCCACCAAACTGTGAGCCAACATGACCCCTTCCTTCTTTACACTGTCTTTTTTTGTTTGGTTAGTTTGTTGCTGTTGTTGTTGTTGTTGTTTTGAGACAGGGCCTCACTGTGCAGTCTTGGCTGGCCTGGAGTTTGTTTTATAAAACAGACTGGCCTCAATCTCTTAGTGATTTCTCTGCCTCCTGGGTGCTGGGACTAAAGGCGAGTGCCACCATGCCTAGCCTTAAACTGCTTCTTGCAAGGCAATTAATTGGTCACCATAATGAGAAAGTAACTATCGCTCACTGTTTGCTAATCATGGACAGCTGGTGGCCTTCAAGCCCCTGCACCCTCTAGTAGAAAATATGTCTTTGCCGGACCGTGTTGCATGCACCACCACCCCAGCACTCGAGGCAGAGGCAGGTAGAGCTCTGTGAGTTCGAGGTCAGCCTGGTTTACAACCAGAGCTGTTACACAGAGAAATCCTGTCTCAAAAAACTAAATATATATATATATATATATATATATATATATATATATATATATACATATATATATAAAATACATACACACACACGTACACGCGCACACACATGGTTTCACATGTATAACCATGTTTAAAAAAAAAAGATTTTGTATGTCTGGTGGTGCTAATATTCGAACCCAGTGCCTCATATTTGTTGAGCAGGTGCTCTGTCACTGAACCTCAACCCTAGTCCCAAAAGATTTAAAGAGTTATTTAGAAGGATGGTATTTTCAATTTGTAAAAAGTCCGAGTTTATTCACTACTTGACAATTGATATTGATCAAAGGTTACGTGCTAGGTACCGGGGATACGTTATTGAACTTGATTTAACAGACTCTCCTTGGGGGACTAAGGGGCAGAAAGGGCAAGCATTAAATAACACGCACCGTTTCGGTGGGCAGTTCAACAGAAGAACTGCAAGTGTTACCGGGGTCAGCGAGGAAGCCTCGCTGATGCAGGGTTCAGGAAGGCTGTACTGCGAGAAGTCTGTTTAATGCAAGAGCCGAGGGAGGGAGCTGCGGTTTCTGTCCTTTAACTTGAAAACGTTCTATTGGAAGATTATTTTAACGTTCGCAGGACATGCTGAGGATTGACAACCGGGGCCTGGTGCCTGCTGAGCACATGCTCTACCACTGAGCTACATCCCAGTCCAGAGTGAAGTAAACCTTTGCACGGAGGTGTGGCACCGACTGTCAGTGCCCACAGGAGGGGTGACTTGACAGGAGGAATGACTTCTTGAAAACATTTGTCAGTGAGTTACAAATAAGGACAAGAAAAATAACCAGAGCTTCTCACTATGAACCAGAATGCCAAGGCTGAATATCTCCTTTGATAAGGACGTTAATACACCTTCCCATTGGCTGGTCCAGTAGCTCCTAGCGTTGCCTGGTTGCAGGCTCAAGAGGGAAAGGTCAGTTGCTTACACACAAATTGCCTTACACAATTGCTTTTCCTCAAATGAATCTTGAAGGCTTGCTTTTTATCATTCTGTTTATGTGAAAAGCGCCCCTATGTGTTTCTATTGATTTTTCTACTCTGGCGACACAACTTTCCAGCTAAGGGAACACATACATAAACTCTAGAAATAAATGCTTCCTACATAATTGTTGCAGAAATATCTAGCTCATGTTTCCGAGACAAAAGGCTCTGCTGGTCACCATTGACAGAGTAAGGTCCCAACCATCCCAGCAGAGTTTGCAACTGCGGCTCCATTAACCAGCTCCTCCCAACCACCACCATTTCTGGTCCTTTAAGTACAACCGAACTCCTGGCTGAGTACCATAGAATCAGATAAGGTGCTGGGGTAGAGGGTGCGTCTCAGAGGAAGGGAGTTTGCCTAGTACACATTAGGGCCAGGAGCAGGGGAGACTGGGAGGGAAAACAAGAACAGAGAGCTCTGGCTTCCCTGGCCCTTGAAGAGATTCTAACTGCAGCAGCAGAGTGAGAGAGAGTATGAATTTTGTCAGGGTCCTTGCTAAGTCATTCCAGAATGGGGCCTATGGCTAACAACCTCTTCAAAGGGGCCTCATCCTGTCCGCCCTCCTTTCATTTCCCGGAAGTGTTGGTCTGTCCTGACTCTCCTTGCCCCTCTCCTGAAGTCCCCCAACCGTAAGCAGAACATCCTATTACTTTTTCTCATCCCAACATGAGGCTCAGAATCTCTTAATCATTTTTAAATGGTTGTAGAGTGAATTAGGAAATGAACAAATCAGGAAAAAATGTCTTCACTCTTGTTTTGTTTTGTTTTGAGAGCAAACAGGTTTAAACGGGCCTGGTCCTTTGGCTCCCTCCCATAAATCTTCAAGAATCCCCTGTGCCCTTTCAGGGGTGGGAAGGCATCGCCATGCCATGAGGAGCTCTGGCTCCAGGTTCAACTCCAGAACGTTGGTGTAGTTTGTGGCTTCGACTAGGAGCATGTCACCCTGGACTTCACCATCCACAGATAGTTATAGTTGCCCAGACTCACGGGCCTGAGACTGTAGGTTGTGAAGAATATCAAATCCCAACGAAAGAGAAATGTGTTGTTTTGGGAATCTTAGCAAGGTCCTACCCATACGTTTCTCTCCTGGCTCCTACAAACACCACGAGGAACATAATTTTCCTCCTAAAACCTCGTTGTTGAATTAGCCGTGTCTGGATAGTTGTACATTAGAATCTTCTGGACTCCTCAGTCACGGGAGGACTAAAGAAGAAATAAACCAGTGAAGCAATTGTGTAAACAGGAGGCACAGACAAGGGCTAAATGCCGGTTCTGTGGGCAGAAAGGCTGCCTCGGGTGCGCTGCTGTCGCAGCCCTGGGTTGGGACCGAATAAATGGGAGGCAACAGTGCCCCTTCCCAAAACTACAAATGAAAAGCAAGTCTAGGACGTAGCTGTTTAGGAATGCCTGCATTGCGATGCGTATTCACCATGGCCCTGCTTAAGCCTCGCTGCGGACGCGTTCACAATATAAACAGGAAGGATTAGAGTGACCCGCGTCCCCAAAGACTGCGGCAGCCCGGGAAAAGCTCCGGTTACCTTGCATCCTGCGCAGCCTGCCCCTTGATGACAAATGCCCCAGATTCGAGCATTCTTTTGTAGTTCATGGGAAAGCAGGCTAATCCGTGCCAGCCCGCCCGCACACAGCCCAACTCCATTCAGCGCTCCCGCACAAAGCGCTCTCTGGCGCCCGGCAGCCCGCAGCCGCAGCTCCTCCACCGCGACCTGGCCCGACCCGCGCTGCCGGTTCTGCTGCTTCCACTCCACGTGCGGGGCTGCCGCTGCAGAGCGGGTGGGAGCGCAGCGTGGGAAAGTCTGCATCGAAAAAACAAAACCAAAAAAAAAAAAAAAAGCCCCAAAACCAAGACATGGCAGGCTGGCCTTCTCCTTCCAAGAATTCGGACTGGCTTCTGTATTCCACCTACCACCCCTCCCCATTTTTAAACCTTTCCATCCATTCCCACCCTTTCCCACCCACCCTTTCCCATTCCTTTGCTTTATTAGTTTCTCTGTCTCTCTGTGTCTCTCTCTCTGTCTCTCTCTCTCTTTCTCCCCCCCCCCCCTGCCCCCATCAAGCCACATCCCTAGCCCTCCATTAGCATTTTAAACATGCCAGGCCATGGGAGCTTTTCTGGAGTTAGTATCTCTGTAAGGGAGGCACATTTCACGGATGAGGACACTAAGGCGCAAATGAGCCCTGTGGGCACTGAAGATGGAAGCAGGTCTCTTAAGCTACAGGTTGCCTTGGCTGTTGACAGCGCAGACCCACAGATCCATCCAACCTGCAGCAGGAGTCAGTGTGCCCAAAAACAACCGTGTTTTCATCTCAACTACCTCCTTCAGAGAGAGAGAGAGGTCACATGCCAATCAAAGCGAGTATAGACCAATGGTTGATTCACAGTTCACTGAAGCATTTGTCACCAGCAAAGATCTGCTTGTCCAGTGTGGGCATTCTCTTCAACGACAGCCTCTGCTTCCACCACCTGCTCCAGGTTCTCCTACGGGAGTTCCCTCAACAAAGAAGTTGCAACTGTGAGCTGTAACCCAGCAAAATGGAGCAACCCACAGTCTCACTACAACGGAGGCTGAGGTGGAAGGATCACTCGGACCCAGCACTTCCAGGCAGACTTGGGCAACACAGCAAGACCAGGTCTGGGATCAGCATAACACTCACAAAGCAGAGCTTTAAAAACATGAACCAAGCTCGGCCACATGGTTTAAGTCTTAATCTCGGCACAGCAGGGCTGAGGTAAGAGAACCAGTTCAGGCCAGCTGGGGAGATGTCATCAACAAAGCCATGGATGAAAGGAGGTTGGTCTACAGGAGCCTACTGATTGGCCTCAGTGTCCTGGAAAATGCCTGAAGTAGTAGGCCGTGTACCTGGGAATAAGTGAAGAGTATAGAAGACAACCAGAAAGTATTCAGACTCTAGAAGGGCCCAGGTAAATGGTTTAAGGGTTTTGGAGCATGATAGAAAACCAAGCTGAGTATGTTGAGGGTCAGGGAAACTTCACAGATGATTACAGGGATGAAATTATGAATTAAGGTTGTAGCTCACTAGTAGACTGGTGTGCTTAGCATGTCCAAGGTCCAGCAACACACATACACACACAATGAAATTAAACACCCAAAAGATTCCAAATCTTACCTCTGCAATAGCATGGGAAGAAATAATAGTTAATAATATAGAGACTAACTTTGTAGCTTTTATTTTATTATTATCGTGTGTGTGCATGATGTGTGTTGATGGGCACTGGTGTGCATGTGGTGATCAAGGTTCAACTTTGTGGGCTTGGTTCTTTCCTTCCACCCTTACGTGTGATGCCAGGGACTAAACTCAGGTCGCCAGGCTTGCCCATCACATGCCTTTCCCCACCTAGCCTCTTAAACTGTGGGCATGATCACCCATAGGGTTTTATAATTGAGTGTGTGGGGGAAATCCACAACAGTCAGCAACAGTAAAAGTTTTTTGAAACCAGAATGGCCAGAAACGAATTACAGACCAAACCATAATGAAGCCAAAATATCTCCTGAAGCAGTAACTCACATGGCATCAAGCAACTTCCCTGCAGCCTTGGTTATGAACACAGAACATGGGCACTTTGCACTGTGGATGCCCTCATACCACACAATGCCAGTGTACACGGCCTAGAATACCTCGGCTCAGATTTGAGACTATGATACTGTGAATTACAGTGTGTTTATTGCACACACCAAGTTTTCTGCTCTTCTAGTCACATAATGGTCTGATTATGGGAAAAAAGACTTTAGCAATTATTTTCCTGCCATCACTCCTCAGCATGTGTTACATTACTGTATCTTTGTATTGTGTTAGAATGTTTGATTTTTTTTTAAAATTGCTATTTGAGGCCTGAGAAGATTGCCCAGCAATAAAAAAAAAAAAAGTGTTTGCCTTATAAGCAGGAGAATATAAATTCAAATATGCATTTATTTAAAAGCTGTACATGGTGATACTTGCTTGTAACCCCAGCATAGGAGAGGAAAAGACAAGAGGACCCCTGAGTCTCACTGGCCAGCCAGCCTTGCCTGTTTGGTGAGTTCCAGGACACACAGAAACCTCATAGGGAAACATAAAAGGTTGGCCGTGCTTGGTGATGACACCATTTGTTCTCTGACCACCACAGGCACATACATGTGCATCAGCACACACAATGAACACACACACACACACACACACACACACACACACACACACACACACAAGTTGCTGTTTTAGTGGCTGCCTTGAATTCATAACAAATCATTAAATGAAAATTTGGCTTGGGATTAGGACAGAATGTCTAGCAGTTCCTGAAATGGCTCTAAACATACTTCTGCATTTTTGTACTCTATGTTCATGTGAAGTGGTATTCTTAGTATTGACAAATACAAAATCAAAATATTGATCAGCTTTACAAATGTTGAAAAGAGGCTGGGGAGATGGTTCATTGTTTGTTAAAGTAGTTGCCACATAAGTGTGAGGACCAGGGTGGGATCCACAGAAATGTGTGAGGCAGCCTCCATTAATTCCAACATTGGAAGGTGGATCCCAGGGCAAACCGGCTGCAAGAGGAGCTCTGTCTTTGAGCTTTGAGTTTGACTGACAGACCCTGCCTCAAGGATTAAGGTGGAAGAGCAATGGAGGATGATTCCTGCCATCAACCTTGGGCTTCCACATAGGTGCATGTGAACACACACACACACACAGACACACACACACACACACACACACACACACACACACACACACAGAATTGCAAGAGTGTGTGAATGTATAATCACACAAGTGTGTGCCCCTACAAATGCAAAAGCTTTCATACACACATGTGCATACCACACTCACACACACACACACACACACACACACACACACACAGGCACAAAAAAAAACCCCAGAAAATAGAATTAAAAACATTGAAGATCCTCTATGTCCTTTGGGTATTCAGTCAAGATTTAATTCTTCATGTCAAAATAAATAAGCACTCACTAGGATGTACATTTTCTCTCATCTTTGATAAATATGGTGATATTGTGTTCCCCAAAATATTGTGCACCCTAATAAACTTATCTGGGGTCAGAGAACAGAACAGCCACTAGATACAGAGGCTAGAAAATAGTGGCACTCACACCTTTAATCCTAGCATTCCAGAGGCAGAGATCCACCTGGATCTCTGTGAGTTCAAGGATAGAGCCAAGCCTGGTGACTCATGCCTTTAATCCCAGGGAGTGATGGCAGAAAGCAGAAAGATATATAAGGCGTGAAGACCAGAAACTAGAAGCATTTGGCTGGTTAAGCTTTTAGGCTTTTGAGACACAGTTCAGCTGGCTGAGGACTGAGAGGCTTCCAGTCTGAGGAAACAGGGTCAGCTGAGGAATTGGTGAGGTGAGGTGGCTGTGGCTTGTTCTGCTTCTCTGATCTTCCAGCATTCACCCCAATACCTGGCCCTGGGTTTGTTCTTATTAATAAGGCCATTTAAGATTCCTGCTACAGATAAACAATAAAATTATATTTATACCAAAAAATTGTTTTAAAACGAATTTCTTTAGGAGTTATTGTCAGTAAACTTTTGATTTGTATACCCGTTTTATACACCCACTTTCCTTGGGGTTTCTAAAAATTTCTCAAGCAAAAGGAGTGTGAACAGAAAAAGTTTAAGATATTGAGAGCCTTCTCATATTGTTGTGGGGTACAAATGGAAACACAGTTGTGAGATACACTGGAATTATGTCTCAAAAGGCATAAAATGTATATGTTTTATCACATTGGTTCTATTTGTAGTTTTCTCTTAAGGCATTTAAGAGAGTTTAAGATTTCTCTTAAATCTGTCAAATAATTTAGGTACAGGAGTTAATTAAATATTGTTCATATCAGCACAAAAATAGTTCTAGATATCCATCAACAAGGGATGGCCTAGTTAATTTATGATAATCCATAAAAAGGGAAATTATAATATATTAATAATGGGACACACAGCACATTTTGAGAGTATGATAGCATAATACTTGGGGGGGGGGGTAAAAAGTATACAGAAATATGTCTGAGGGGATAAACAAAAAGTTGTGCTTAAGGACCAATGGTTGTTTTGTTTCCCTGTGTGTGTGTGTGTGTGTGTGTGTGTGTGTGTGTGTGTGTGTGTGTGTGTGTTAGTATTTCCTAATGGACCTTCAGTTAATACGTACCATATGGATGATAAAGAAAAACAAACTTGCTTTTTGAGTTAGGGTCTTCTATGTTGCCTAGGCTGACCCCAAACTCCTGGGCTCAAGTGATCAGCCCCCCAAAGTAGCTGCCCACCTCTGTGCCCCACTGAAGTATTTATTTTTAAAGAAAGAATTTATGTTTCTGTTCCCTTGATGATGATAAATGAGAATGGTTTCTGATCTGAAAGGGGAACAGTCCTCCAAGTGAGTGAAAATGCCCACCAGGCTTCAGAGCGTTCATAACAGAATATGACTTTTGCTATCCCAGTGTCTGGTCCCTCTGCATTAATATGTCCACAGAGAACATGGCCTTCGGTCCTCACCAGGGAACTTCACTGGAGAGTGTTGTCACTAATGCTTAGCACACGCCCATCCGAGAGAAGTGATGCTTGAGTGCCCAGTTTGACCAGCTTGCAGCTGTTGCAGGTTAGCTCAGTAGAATGTAACTGCACACCAGTTAGACCATAAGCTCTAAACACTACATTATCGCTCCACAGAGGTACCTTTGCTGAGCTGTGTCTCTTGTTCTACCCTCGGTTTCCAGCTGAGCTTCAAGTGAAGTGGT